CGAAATCAGGTTTAGAGGGCATTTCCGGCGTCAGAGAACGCCTTAGAATCGAAGTTTTCAGGCGACTAGTTTGCATCTAAAAGGCGATCAGGCGAACGGTTTCGAATGGTTCGGGAACGGGTTTGAATGGGTTCGAGAACGGGTTTCGAACGGTTACGGGTTTTGAACGGGTTTCCCCTGGGAAGGTCAGAACTCATGTAAAAGACGACTTTTAGACAATTCGAACGGGTCTCGAACGGGTCCTGAACGGGTCTTAGATCAAAATGTTTCAGAAATATCAAAAAAAACCTGATAAAACGCACGAAACTGCGACTTCATGTCATGGAAACCCTAGGAACAATCTTGAAGTTTCATCTCTGTGGTACAGCACATGTGCAATTAAGCTCACAGAGCCAACACTCCCATCAGATCCTGCGGCAAAAGAGCCATCTCTGTGCCGGTTTTGAAGAGTTTCCGGTCACACAGGAGTAGGAGTGCCAAAGTCTAGAGCAAAAGCAGGCGAACAGAACTTTGACTGAAGAATATCTACCTATATACACATTGGGGTGAATTTAGCATTCTCAGGCTCGCCTTGGAAAAGCCTGCTTCAAAGCAGCAGGTAGAAAAACGCGCTTGCTTCCACGGCAGTACCTCAGAACACTAAGGAGATCAGCTTCGGGCCAAAGATCAGAGTCGACGCTGGCTGCCTCCACAAAGGCCACCGCAGAGAAGTCTGAAGGGACAGGATTGGGTTTCCCAGAGGCATTGCGCGTCAGCTCCGGCATCATATCACGAAGCTGATCCCCAAATCGTTCAGGGTAGGTCCTTATTATGGGGTCCCTGCAGATAAAAAGGAAAGATCACATCTTGCAATTGCGTATTATATTTGCCACGGAACTGGCTCTCCTTCAAGAGTTTCTTGACGCCTGTCCATTGCTTCTTTCCAGAAGCATTGGTGGTAGTCTTGGCAAGCTGGTGCTGGGTTTTGGCATTCCGCTCTGAGCGAGAAAGCTTCCCCTTATCAATCTTCGCCACTATCTCATTATTGGACCATCCTTTTGATCTTTTCGCTGTCGGCGAGCCATAGTGCATCATCCACCACCCCACGACATGCATCTTGGCTGGGCAAGCCACAAAACCCAAGCCCTAGTACCGCGGAACAATGAATGATTTAGGCGATTTTGCTATATATGAACAGCAGAGTTGGGAAGTCTTTTGACAGCTTGTAGAGAAAGCAAAACTGCACCAAGGCCCCCTAGAAACATTACGGTTTTGCTTAATGCACCAGAAAGTACCCAAGTTAGCAATTTTTGGGGGCTTATAGGGTGGTGCATTATAAGCAAAACCGTAATAACCCCCTCCCTAGGAAAATGAATCATGTGGGCGGTTTTGCTTACTGCGCCAGAAAATACCCAAGTTGGCAAGTCTTTTGGGGGCTTAGGGGTGGTGCAAGAAGCAAGACAGCCCAAAGAAGGGGAAGTTTGAAAGGGGGCGAAAACGTTGACTGTTCCGTATAGGGTTCTCGGAGGTGCTCTGAGCAGAGTTTATAGGACAATCCTCTTGACGGAAGCCAAGGTTGCTTGGACAATACTTGGGTGTCTCTGGCGCAGCATTTATAAATCTGGAATCTCTTCAGTCTGTAGGGGTTTACACAAGGAGGGGGTTGCAGGATTGGATTTCGAAAAAAGATTGCGCAGCTGATTCAAGATCCTCAGGTTTTTCAATTGAAATCCCTATACAAAAGGCCCGGGAAACCTCCATAATTTCACACAAGACGGAAATAGGGATATATACACTATGCAGATATATTAATGGATATATAATCCTGAAGACTCCCCTATCTGCAAGAAGCCATGCCAGACCCCAAAGTAAAATTGGTATATGCGCCGGATTCTACTAAGCCCCCTTGATCGTTGCCCGGGTTGATATGAGCTTGTCCACCTACACTTGATGCTCGGGGTATAGCTTTCCTGTCGGCTGCACGGTTCTCATGGCAGGTCAGGTTTACAGGGAAATGAAAAACCCTGCGAAGGGATATATACAAAAATCATGATCAGTACTCCTACAGCCACCTAGACACCCAGAACGTTGGATTGCCGCGTTGTGTAGTGACGGCTTGAAACTCTTGGGGACACTACTAGGGGAAGCCAGGGTTCCGACCCGATGAATTGGTTCTACCTTCTGCAAGCAACCGAAAGCTCTGTGTCAACCTAGGTTTGTAGCAATGCAGAGGAGGTGCTGTGGCGTGAAGGCCAATCTCCTTGAATCTTGGATACCACCCGAGAAGGCTGGATGATGGCTGCTCAATAAAATAGCAGCCCCCTCTAGCCAACACGACT